CCTTAAACTCTGACAAATGATAAAAATGCTTGAAAACTGAGCTGCCATAGAAGTGCACATCTTTTCTTCTTTTTAGTATAAAGGATGCCTTAGGCAAGCTGGTCCTTCAATAAATTGTCTGCAGTTAAGTGACAGGAATAGACAGTTTGTGTTTAACATGACCAACTATTCTATTTCAAAATGTATCACATTCATCACATTTATAGTTTAAAAAGCGATGTATTCTTGAATGCTGGATTAAAAAACAATAAATAGGCTACCTGTAATTTCAGGTTAATGTTAAGGATATGAATGAACTCTATATTTTAAAAATTAAAGATAATTTAAAAAAAAGAGAGAGAGAAAAAAGGAAAAGGAAAAGGGAAAGGGAAAAGGAAAGGGAAAGGGAAAGGGAAAGGGAAAGGGAAAGGGAAAGGGAAAGGAAAAAAAGGAGAAAAAGGAAAAGAAGAAGAAAAATGGTGGGTTTTCTTGGTCAGAAATTCAAGGAGTTGTTGCAGCTCTCATGTCAGGAAAACGGATCGAAGCAATGCAACATATCATCCTGATTATACAAAACACTACAAAATATTCAAGGCCATTCATATTTTCTCCAGTCATACAATCCAATACACAACTTCTCATCTACGCAAATAATCTTTTAATAATGAATAATATTTACTACCCTACAGACATGCAAAATGCTTCTCTCCTAAACCTTAAGCTGTATGCTGGAAAAGGACAACAGACTGTGAGACATTTCCTTGAAGACTACAGCTTTCTTCCTTGTAGATTCTTTGGCAGAAATTGATGGAGCTGACTGAAGAGCTCCTTCAAAATTTATTCTTACAATCAAAGAAAAACAAAAGCTTCTTTTTCACACAAGTGTTTCTTCTACTGGAAAACAAATATTTAATTTATTACTAAATTTAAATTTCCCTACTTTTTTCCTGTTTTTTTATGGTTGTTTTTTGTTCAACTTTCTTCAGCGGGGAAAAGAAAAAGAGCAGAGCCTATTTTCTTTCCTCCTTTTTTTTTTTTTTTTTCTTTTTTTTTTTTCCCACTGAAAGAAGGAATAACCCATAGAAAACATGCTAAAGCATAGAAAACTTTAGGGTATTTTCATTCCAAGTAGATTTTTTCCCCCAGTCATTCTGGTAACTGGTTAACCAGGGGGAGAACTGGAAATTGGTTTTGTTGTGTTTCAAGCCCTGCACTCAGGCTTTTTCATGCAAAGCTCCACTCAGGACAGCCCTCTGCTTTTCTAATTCTCTGTCTGGAGAAGCAGTAAAAATGAAAGTAATCATCACTCATCTGATCCAAGCCTTGTTTTATGAACAAATATTTGCTGTGCTGCATTTTATTCAATCATATCCCAGTTCTTTTTCATGCTCAAATAATAAGACCAATAACAATGACACTGAAACATTATTAGCACACCTCCAACTATTTGCAAATATTATTAGGCTGTGTTCCTACTCTACGCCCTCAATATTACCCTTAAGAAAATTCTCTGAACTTCAACAAATTGTTGAAAATAGCTTGAAGAAACAATGAGTCAGTAATGAAGTACAAGTACTTTCTGTGACAGTATGATCAGTCTACTGCTATCGTTTCCAGTCATTAAAAAATAAAAATAAAAAAAGTTTAAAGAAATTGTTATTCAAGTTGGAAATACTTATTGTGCTATCTGAGATTTTGGTTACAGTTTTCTCCCTGTTAGTGTTATTAAGCTTCATGTTCAAGCAGCTTTAGAGAGGAACTGTATATTAACTTAAGCGCCAATGAATTAAGCACTGATAATGTTTTAACATGGGTTGACTGGTTTACTTATCACCTGTGTGATTAACTTCAGAAAAGAAAATCAGACAGATCTGTGACAGATAATTATATGCCTGCATGCATGAAGATACATGCCTAATGTTTTAAGTTGAGGGTTCAACAGCTACTTTTGTCCTAAAAAAATGTAGATATGAGTGTTTATTTCCCAGTCTGTAGAATAAGGACAAAAGCAGACATAAAAAACACGATATGTCATTATCACTATTTTTACTGTAATTTAAGTCTAGTTAAAATGAGGTGATTAATCGTGACCTCACTTTTCCTCAGGATTTTTTATACTGCTTTCCATCCTAAAGATAGTGTAAATAAGAAATGCAAAAGAAATGCTTATTTCAGAAGTCTGGCATCCATTCACATTTGTCTTCTATTGGTTTTCACTTTGACATAGCAAATCATCATACAAATGCACTGTTTTGTTACCTGTATAAATCCACTGGAATAAGAAGACCAAAAAATACAGAGATAGCATCATTCTACACTCCCAATGTGATTCAACAGCAAAAAAAAAATGCTGGCAGGTAGCGTCAGCTTTGGCTCCAGATCAGGAGACCTGGCAACCAAGAAAAGCTAACAGACTGGATCTGATCTTTATTTTTCCAATGTTAGTAAAAGTTTGTGCACTAATCCAAGCCTATCTTTGATGTAAGAGATAGCTTACGTATCAATATAACGAATATCTCTCACTAGCAGCTTAAAAATTTGCTCTGCTTTCTGTAACGTAATATGAAATATATGAAAGAAAACAGACTGTTCAGGAGTGTAAACTGCACCAAGTTCTGTTTTCACAGCAACATGCAAACATGAATCAAATCCACTTGACTGATTTTATTTGTAGTAGCAAAGCAGGTCACAGGGAACTACACCTGCATAAAGCAGACAACTGTGTATCACAAGGGTGCTGCACTAAGCAGAGCCTTAATCAGCCTTCGCAAGCTACACTATAACTGTACAAAACATCCTTGTAACTAGCCTTTCCTAGTGCAGATTAATCCTGATTAAAGAAGTCAAAATCATTCATACACATTTGCATAATGTCTGTTGACACTTTCAGAATTAAGTTTTAAAGGGAAAGAAATAAAGATCCTATGCAATGACCCAACTACGTGGCACCTTGTGGATCTTTGGCATCCTCAAAATACTACCCATCTGTTAGAGAATTATTCTGGACATTCAACAAGGTAAACTCAACAAGCAGATGGTGCCTCATGATACCTGTTTGTAAAATGCAAATAACTACATTCCAAAAAAAAGATCTCCAAAAAGAAAGCACCAAAAAATTACTTGATATAAACCACTCGAAAAACATAACACTTATTCATCTTTTTTGGCAAGACAGAGATTCAAATTTCTGGGAACTCTATTTAGCACCAGAATTACTGGACAGCATGGTGTAAACAGACACAGAAGCAACAACAACAACAACAACAACAACAACAACAACAAAAAAAAAAAGTTCACTCATAGCTGAAAATGACTTGCACACTGAGGAAACTTACCTAGGAAGACAATCAGAACAAGCAATTCCCAGCAATTTTAAGTTACTGGGAAGAAAAGAATAAGGAAGTCTTTAATCCTTTTAAGACTTATATTGATATTATTTCCACAGCACGTATCGAGGCAAAGTTATGCTTGCTTGTATTACATGGATTTCCAAGGAACGCGGCCCACCAGACCTTTCAGGATCCCAAAAATGAGCCACTGCACAGAGGCACTGTTGCGTTTGACAACAGTAAAGGGAATAACTGAGTGCAGCAGCTGCCTTACACAGCACGAGTCACTGCCAAGGGTGGCACATGAACTTCAGGCATATGTATGTTAATATTCACATGTAGAAATTACAACACAGAAATATAAAATGAGTAACAAATGACTTTGCACATTCAAAGCTTCAGTCCTAACTTTAACAGGTGCTTTCCACTTCAGAAATTCAGTATTCACGGCACGGCTTTGGAGGAGAAGAAAAAATATACAGCAAGAAAGGTCTTCCAACTCTGTCACTGCAAAAACAACATGTTCACTCTAAAATAAAATCAGGAGGAGTGCAACTCATTAAACGGATCCAATTAAATTCCATTATTTATTAAATGTTCTGTTCCTTGGGTGAAACAGAGATGAAAGGTTTCTTGGGTGAAAAAGGAGGGAGGAAGAGTGTGTGCATAAACGCCAGAATGTGCTGGGTCTTTTAGCCACTGCCTATTTATAAAGAAAAAATCTAAGAAGAATATTTCACCAAACAGGTTGGGAGCATAGTGGTGTTTTATTTTTCTTACCGAAACATTTTCCTTATCAAGATTTCCTGCTTATTTGTTCTAAGAACTCTAAGACAAGTTCCCTGCAGTCTCGCTGTTCTTATAACATAGCTGCTACCATAAATGCACAATTTTTAAGTCATAGTGAAGGTTGCTTTGCTCCTTTTCAAGAAAACTTTGCCTTGCACATAGCCCACAGCAACTAACAGAAATCATGAACACCGCTTGCAGCTCTGAAGCTCATGAACGTGAATTCCTACACGTTAGGAAGTCAAGAAAGAAATATGAACATCTCTCTCCACTGTGTGCCCAAAGCACTGAACGAGAGGAAACAAGGATTGGGAAACCGCACAGGCTTAACTGGCTGTGCCACAGCAACTGAGTCTTCCCAAGGTCTCGTATGTGTATTGCAGTGAAAATCCAGCACCCAACAAGTAGAATTTGCAGCTCTGAGCAGCGCTAAAGCACGCGTGTCCAACCCACTGGCTTGCCGGAGCCATACTGAATGAAGAAGAATGAAGAAAGTCTTTGATCGCATATAAAATACGCATTATAGTTTGGTTACACAAGAAAAAAGCTGTCCTGATTTTTAAGTTGTTTTTATTAAAGCATTCCGCTTGTGTCAGGAGTGTACGTGTGTCACGCAGTTCCTGCAGCAGCACAAACACACCTGTTCCCACCGGGGCAGTGATCAGGGAGAAGTCCAGCCCTCACCCCCAGAAGCGAGGCCCCACTGCCCCTAACCACGCTTCTGCTGCAGGGACAGGTCCTGAGCACGGCCATTCTCTGCTGCCAGTGCCCCTCTGCAGAAACAAGATCGCCACACTGAGCTCCTTCAGACACGCACAACATGGGGATGTCAACCCCACTCGGGCTGGTGTCCTGCTGCTCTGGCAGGCCTGGCCCTCTGCTGTCCAGGAGCTCTGCGCCAGGATGGAAGAGCACGGCTGCCCTAGGGTGGTTCCAGGGCTGCAGCCGTGCCCGAGGGACAGACAGCTCCACTGGCACGGGGATCATTGGCAGCAGGTGGAGGGAAGCGATCCTTCCTCCTGCAGCACGGCCAACACCCGGCCCCTCAGTCTGCGCAGAGCCAACGCCTTCCTGCTTGGGTATCCAGGGCCCCCACCTTCACCCGCCAGGTGGTGACTGTGTCACAGTGGGTGCCAGGGAGCGGCCACTGTGACCCATGGGGCTGCAAGCAGAACAAAGGCTGCCAAGCTCAGAACCTGCGTCAGTGCGACTTGGTGAGGTGCGGAGAGGGCAGGGAGGAAAGGGCTGCCTGAGGCTGATAGCGGGAGGAAGGCTCCCACCCCCCCGTGCCCTGTGCTGTCAACTCACCCTTGTCCTGCTTCTCCCTCAGAGTTGGCAGAGGAGTGTGCAGAGGAGAAAGCTCAGCGTTGCAGGAGCAGGAACTCTGCAAGTGCTCGCTGTCGATGTGCGAAATGGAGGCTCCCAACTGGACGGAGCCAGGTGAGAGCCAAGCATCCCTACTCACAGCTCCCCATCACCAGGCAGAGGGGTGTTGGGGCTCTGCCTGTGGCTGAGAAGGGAGGCCATGCACAGCCTGCAGTCCTACCCCTCATCCATCAGGGCAGGCACTGAGCAGGCCCCTGGGCACAGCCCTCAGGGACAGCTGGCCCTGCACCGCACTCACTGCTTTTGCTCTCTCCTCTCCAGCGTGCATGCTGTGCGGCCAGACAGATGCTGACCCAGACATCTGTGGGCTCAAGCACCTGGACTCTGGGATATGTGCCCATGCATTCTGTATGGTGAGTGCCCCTGGGGCTCCTTCTTTTCACCTTCCTCCAAGCAATGGTTCCTTCCTTCCTGTCCTCACACGACCCTGCTCTTTTCTCTCAAACAGGCATTTTCCAACGGCCTTCTCCAGCAGGCAACTAGAGTGAACACGACTGCTGAGGTGTCCCCTGTATACGTCCAACGCGTAATCCAGGAGGCAGAGCAGAAGGTGAGGACCTGACCGAGCAGGCTGGTTTGGGCCAGGAGAGGCTCCTCAAGCTCAGCCTGGTCCCGAGGAAGCAATCCTGGCTCTTCCAGCAAGCTCCAGTGCCTGCATGCTCTGTCCTGAGCCCTGCCCACAGGTGCAGGGCCAGCCACAAAGGCGCTGAGCCTGCTCCTGATGGCACTGCTCTGCTCCTTCCAGCACTGCTTCGTTTGTGGCGAAACGGGGGCCCCCATCACGTGTGCAGAGACGGGCTGTGAACTGAGTTTCCATCTGCCCTGCGCCCGGGTGGGTGAATGTGTCACCCAGTATTATGGAAACTACAGGTGAGGACAACCCCTGTTGGCAATACCAGCCAAGGAAGTGAGCAACCCCCTGTGACTGCTCTCATTAGCCTGCAGAGCCAAGGCCCCGGGCTCCCTCCCATTCCTCTGCCCTCCGCACAGCTCTTCTCACCTTGCCCATCCCTTCCGTCTTCCCGCAGTTCATTCTGCCAGAAGCACAGCCCTGAGCAGGCTGCGGAGGCGACTCCAGAGCAGAGCACCAACTGCATTATCTGCATGGAGCCAGTGGAGGACAACAAGTCCTACAGCACCCTGGTGTGCCCAGCCTGCAAACACGCCTGGTTCCACCGGGCCTGTATCCAGGTAGGAGCCCTCCCCTACACCAGCGGGCAAGCTGCAGCAGGCAACCCGCAGCACCTGAGCCTGCTCCCGCTCCTACTGATGACTGTGTTTCTGCTACAGGGACAGGCCATCCGTGCGGGCATTAACTGCTTCCAGTGCCCCCTCTGCAGAGATGCGGATGCCTTCCTCTCTGACATGCTCATCATGGGCATCCGAATCCCGCTCAGGTTGGTGTTTTTCTGCCAGCTCTTGAGAATCAAGGGCACAAGAACTGCGCCTGCCCAGGGATGGCTCCGGCAGGCCTGGTCCTTTGCTGCCCGTGACCCCAGGCTGCCCTCAGCTTCAAGGAGAAGCTGGAAATGGGCTTGGAGTGGAAGAGCAGGGCTGCTCTGCAGCAGCCTTAGTCCAGGGGCAGCAGGAGCTCATTGCATTTTCTCCTTTCTCTGGCAGTGGACCCATGTGGGAGGACGGCAATGCATACGCATCGCTGGGAGTGAGACACGGGCGCTGTGATGCCACCGAGTGCCTTTGTCCACAAGGCAGGGAGCAGGCAGAGGGAGAGGGGTGAGTTAGCTCAGCAGCCCTCGGGGGCTACGCGTGGGATCTCAGGCTAGGGGAACAAGCACTCCTTGCCTTGATGCACTTTGTCCTCACAGCCACAACCCCTTTGCTTTCCCAGGCCCTGGGAGATGCTCCTGTGCAGCTCCTGTGCTGCAGAAGGCACTCACCGGTGCTGCTCCCAGCTGAGCAACAACGCGGACGAGTGGGAGTGCCAAGCCTGCGCTGGCGTGGGCACCGGTAAGAGGCAAATAGCCATGTGGGGGCCAGGCAAGGCCTGGCAGCGGGTGCCCGAGGCAGCCTTGCCAAAATCTCTCTGGCCCAAGTTGGATGGCAGCCTGGCCCGCGCCGGGGCTGGAGGCCCACCCTGCTGACCTTCCTGACTTTCCCCCTTACAGCCTCCACTGTCAACTCAGAGGTCACCGGCCCCAGCACCGCCAGCCAGCAAGGACTGCTGCCATCCAACAGCTCCACTGCATCTGAGAGCAGCAGCTCCAGCACTGCCAGCCAGGCAGCGTCAGGGCCTGGTCACAGTTCCCAGGTGCCTGACAGCGGCAGCCAGTCCAGCCAGCCTGGGACAGGCCAAAGCCATGCTGCAGCTCCATCGGGTGCAGCTGAGAGGTGCACCCCAACATCGGCCGGTCAGAGGCCCCCACGGTCCTCGAGGGCTTCCCGAGCAGCCGGCAGCCGCAGGTCCGGGCAGGGAGAGCGGAATCGGACACGAAGCCGCTCCCCAATCCAATCTCAGGCGCCACGTTCCAGCAGCCATCCCCAAAGGCGCTCTGGGAGGAGCCACGCACCTGCTCCAATGGCTGAGAGTGGCTCCCCACGCTACACCAGACGGGGAGCGCTGGGGTCGTCAGGGGATGCCCCAGCGGCTGATGGAAGAAGCCAGCCCATGCAGCTAGTGCAGGCCCAGACACGAAGCCGTTCCCCTGTGGAACGTCGGCCTGCACAATCCCGGGGCCAGCTCCAAAGACGCCTCAGGGGCCAGTCCAGGCGACGAAGGCCAGCCCAGGTGCAAAGCCGCTCCCGGGTACATCGGGCCACGAATCCCCGCAGCCGGCCCCAAAGAGGCCGCAGGACTAGCCGGGTGTGAGCCCCGTGTGCTGGCTCATTTTGCTGACAACAACTTACGCAAGATTCCAAACAGTGCCAGATGTCATTCCATTCAATGATAATAATCTCAAAAATGTCTTAAAATAAACTCAAAAAAAAATTTACAAAAAAAAATTGTCCATGCCTAAAGTATTATGAGTTATAGTTCAGGAGAAAATAAATAAATAAATAAATAACGTAAGAATGCTGCATCCTTTTTTCTTCCCATGGCTACTACCCACAATGATGGCAGAAAGAATCATATAGACCATGGTGAAAGCACTATTCAGAAAGACCAGAAACAGTGAATTACAGTTATGCAAGCACATCTTTCAAAGAAATATTTATTGCATTAAGTACCAGAATTACGACTGCTGTCAATTTAACTTCATGCAGAGCTCAAAGACTGAATTTAGCAACTGTCTTTTGTGTCTGATGCGTGAATCTCATCCAGTATATTTCTTATACTTTCTACACAAACCTCTTCTTTTTGTTGTTTCATGCACACTTGTTTCCATATTTCTTCAAATCTTTCATCTGAAATGTTCACACCACTGTTGTGAAGAATTTGAGCTATCTATAAAAGAATACAACTCATGTAATTCTGATTGGTAATTTCTTTAAACTGTAAATTCTAGTTTTCACATACATTCGCAATCCACATCCTGGCTGATTAACCCATAAAGTTCCCACATCAGTGAAATGGAATCTTGTATTGATGAAAACAGTGGTATACAAAACTATTTTAATAAGGTTGAAACAACTTTAATGTTGAAAATACAAATACGAATACTACTATGTGGAGGATAAAAAACTAGAAGTTCTCAGAACTTTCTTTAGCAATACTAACATATTAAAATACAATTATGTCCTGACTCAGCAGCCGTAAAATAATCACTGACTAAACCTTACATTATCAAGTGCACACATGGTTTTGTCTGGCTCTTATGTACTATCAACACGATCATACTGAATATCAAGTACACGCTATTACTCAGCCAAGTAATTTAAATTCTTTTTTACTATTGAATTCTATTGAAGACAACAGCAGGTTTAGAAACACTTTGTTCTTTTTTAACAGGAAACATCACATTACAAAACTGTTTCATAGTCAGAATTGTCATCAATTACTAGAGGCCTATTCACAAACTGATACTATTACACAACTTCAGGTTTTCATGTAATAATTTAGTTAGCTACTAAATGTTTCAAGATATTAATGGTCCATGCCAATATAAATCAAAAGAACGTCACCAACACTGAAGCAATCTATTTCATGAGTATTGGATGATTTAATGCACTCAGAGATAGTTCTGTACTGCACTCTGTATAGCCTGTGTAGTCTATAATGGAGGATGACATCTCAGGCCACATAACTTCAGAGATCTATCTGGTGCTTGACAGGTACAATGGACTTCTCAGTGAAGCACAAATTCTATTTGCTGTTAGCCATACTCTGCACACACAGATTTCCTGCTTGAGAGCTACATTATAAAATGGTAAATGCTCATGTACGTGACAAGCTATTTTAAGGATATTTATGGAACATGACACTATATCTTTTACATCCCCACCACTAATTAGCAACATTTTTTCTGCAAAGTATATGCACTTCCAGATGTACTTTCATATGACATCCAGTCATTTATCTAATAAAATGACCAGAAGAGATGGACAGTTTGTTAATGTTTCTTTTTCCATTTCAGATTAAAATTTCATATTTTCCTATCGATGACTCATAAATCATATTTCAATAATTAAGTGATCTCTTTTTTCATTAGAAAATGCTGAGAAATAAAATAGAAAAACCATAAGCAACATAGAACAAGGGGCAACATTGTTTTAGCATTTATGCTGGATGAACTTTGGGTTGCCAAACAAGAGTGGTAGCAGCCCCCAAAGATATCAGTTGAAAAATGCTTGTAAATTGCTATTAGCAAAACCTGGCAGTTCAAGGGAAGACAATCTGGCCAAAATTTTTACTGAAAATTCCTGTGTGACAGAAACTAATTTTACACATCTGCAAAACTCTTTCTCTAGGAAAACAAAAACAACAAAAACAACAACAACAAAAAAACCTATTTATGCATTTATTTTTATATGATTCTATCTACTGATAGAATTATACAATAATTCATGTGGAAGAGATCTCCGGAGATAATCCATCTAATCATACAATCGAAGAAGGGCTAAATTCACCACTAAACCATATTCCTTGGGATGTGGCTCAGAATTTGAATATATCCAAAGATGGAAATTTCACATCTGTTCTGAATTACAGGATCACAGGATTATAGGGGTTAGAAAGAACCTCTAGAGATCATCTTGTTCAACCGCTCTGCTAAAACACATTCACAAGAGTAAGATGCACAGACGTGTGAAGGCAGGTTTTAAGTATCTCCAGAAAAGGAGACTCCACAAGCTTGTTCCAGTGCTCTGCCACACTCAAAGTAAAGACATTTTTCCTCATGTTCACATGGAATTTCCCATGTTCCAGTTTGTGCCTGTTGATCCTTGTCCCATCACTAGAGACCACTGAAAAAATCTTAGTCCCAACTTCTTGTCACCCACCCTTCAGATATTTACAAGCACTGATAAAATCCCCTCAGTCTTCTCTTTCCCAGGTTGAACTGGTCCAAGTCTCTCAGCCTTTCCTCATAAGGGAGATGCTCCACACCCCTAAACATCTTCATGGCCCTTCACTGGACTCTCTCCAGTAGTTCCCTGTCTTTCTTAAACTGGAGAACCCAGAACTGGATACAGTACTCCAGACATGGAACACCTCCCCTGTGAAGAGAGGCTGAGAGAGCTCGGGCTCTTCAGCCTGAAGAAGAGAAGGCTCTGGGGAGATCTCATAGCAGCTTTCAATATCAAAATAGGGACTTCAAGAAAGAAGGTTACAGACTTTTTAGCAGGCTTTATTGTGGTTGGACAAGGGGAAATGGTTTCATACTATAAGAGTGGATATTTAGATTGGATATAAGAAAGTTTTTCTATGATAAGTGTAGTGAAGCACTGGAGTAGGGTGTCCAGAGAGGTGGTGAATGACCCATCCCTTAAGACATTCAAGGTCAGGCTGGGCAGGGCTCTGAGCAACTGGATCTTGCTGTAGAGGTCCCTGTTCATTGTCAGGGAGTTGGACTAAATGACTTTTAAAGATCCCTTCCAACTCAAATGATTCTATGATTCTACATGGCCACCCCAAGGCAGAGTAGAGGGAGAGGATCACCTCCCTTGACCTGCTGGCCAGCTCTTTCTAACACAGCCCAAGATACCATTGTGCTTTTTAGCTACAAGGGCACACCAGTAGCTCATCACCAACTCGGTGTCTACCAGGACACCCAGGTCCTTCTCTACAGAGCTTCTTTACTTTAGGTCAGCCCCTAACCTGATGCATGAGGTTGTTCCTCCTCTGTTCTTCTCACATTACAGAAATGTTGAAAGACAGACTCTGAAGCCCTAAATTATCTTATTAGCATATTGTATAATTAGCATTATTCAACACAGCATTTGAGCATGAGAGCTGCAACAACCTGACATACTTCCTTATATTACGCCTTTCATTGAGATACGACTTCAGTATCTACCATCTTTATGAATAACTTTGAATGTGAAGAGCATATATTTTTCAGACGTCTGAATGGATATTAAAGGATAGTAATGTCAAAATAATGAATTTCACAATCTATACAACTTTCCGGTTCCCCATGGGTCAAGGCATTGCATTTATCTAGAAAGAAAGTTCTGGAAAAAATGTACTGTACCTCTGCCTTTGGTCTTGATTTAAAGAAGTCTCCTTCATACACTCCCTTTTGACTGAAGATGGAAGGGAACAACAATGCATAAGCATTGGCCTGATCACCATAATTAGTTCTGTCACTAATGCGGCGAATTCGAGGAGCTGGAATATCTGAACGAATAGTTGGAACGCCACATACTGGATAATCTGTGGAAATTAATCAATGGGTAATATGGAAAAGTATGTAAAGATACTTCCAGGGACAATAAAATATTTTGCTTTAAATAAGAGCAATTTTGATCCTTTGACTCATATAGCTTCAAGAGTTTATATAATTTTCCCCCTCATCTTTACTATTTGTAGGATTCTTACTTCCAAATTCTTACCTCCAGGTATATAACGATACATGAGAATGGGAAATATTTTAGTAACTTTTGAGCACTTTCTTCTAAAAACATTTTTGGATGATTCTAAGGTGATCTTGTTTTCCTATAGTTACAACCTTAATTTCTCAAAAACATAAAATGATTTGAGTTGAAAAGGACCTTAAAGATCACCTAGTTCTAACTCCACTGTCACGGATAGGTGTGCCTTCCTCTAGACCAGGATGCCCAAAGCCCTAGCCAGCCCAGCTTTGAACACTTACAAGAATGGAACATACACAGCTTCTGTGGGCAGCCTGAATTCCAGAGTCTTGTCACATTCATAGTGAAGATTTTCTTCCTAATGTCTAATCTAAATCTACCCTCTTTTAGTTTAAAAGCATTACTCACTGTCCCATTACTAATTCCCTGATAAAGACTCTCCCCAGCTTTCCTCTAGGCCCCTTTTAAAAGCTGAAAAGAAACTATAAAGTATCCACGGAGCTTTCTCATCCACATCTCTCAGCCTATCTTCACAGGAAATATCTTCAGGTCCTCTGATCATCCTCACTGGTACTAGAACTAGATCTATTCTAACAGTTTTGTGTCTTTCTTATGTAGGAGTCTCCAGAGCTGAACACAATGTTCCGGGTATGACCACATGACAGGAGAGGGGATGAATTTGCTCCCTAGACCTGCTGGTCACACTTCTTTTGATGCAGTCCAGTGGGCTGCAAGTGCACACTGATGGTTCACATTCAGTTTTTCATACACTAACACCCTCAAGTCCTTTCCCTCAGGGCTGTTCTCATTCTATTAATCATCCAGTCTATATTTGCACTTGAAATTGCCCTGACTCAGGGGCAAGATCCTACACTTGGCCTTGTTTAAGTACATGAG